CATGGGAGTGTGAATACCCAGGAGGCCTCCCTGATTTGTAAGACAAAGACATCTCTTTGGGGGATAGAATTGTAAGCAGGCTCTGAATGAGCTATCCCCTGACATCGAGTGATGAGCTGTAGGGGGGAAAAAACTTTCAGAAACAGATCGTGTTTGCATAGATGTGCCTACTCTGCCTAGATGCACAGAATGATGGAGCCGCTGTGCTAAAATGATCACCTTTGGCTGATGCTGAGTTACAAATCAGCATTGAGTGCAGGGGTAATGAAATGCAATAGTCCTTATTGTATGAGTAAAGGGCAGAAAAATACACTTACCCTGCCCTGACTGAGGGAGGTCACCCTCAACTGAACCTCACTCACTTAGCAGGAGCAGAGGGGGACAAATCCCAGTGATGATGAGGGATGTGTGGACACTGTTTAAAGAGTTCTAGATGCCATTTGATGCCTCTCCAGTGCTTAGAGTTGATTAGACTCAATGGAGAGTCATTGTTTCTATTCAGAGCTTACCAGAGTGGAATCATGGAGGAGCAAGTCTAGAGGCTAGTTGCAGTATAGGAACAGTGGTAAGATGAAAGACAATGCAGAGGCTGTGGCAGTAAGGCTCCCTTTCACCCAGTGAAATCACTAAGGGTCTGCACTAAATACTAGAATCTCAGAACACAGGACTGCAGAGATGACAGTGAACAACTGGCCACAGCAGTGTAAAGCAAGAGCAGCAGCAGCAGCATGTGACCAATGGCAGCATAGGCAGTGGTAAACAGCTGGTGAAGAGGTGCCCAGCGACCACAGACATTGCTTAATGGGTGGGAAGCGAACATACCTCTGAATTCTGGGTTTTTGCTAGTGGCATGCAGTGAAGGATGGTGGCGGGAATGTTAAAGGAATAGGCATTCTTCAAACTTACCCCACAAGGTATGAAACAATTGCATGTGTTAATGGTCACATACTTTTGACTACAATAAAGGTGTTTTCCCAAATTAATACTTAGTTCCATTTCCCTTTTAATAAAAGTTCTTTGCAGTTATACATAGACTCAGTGCTTAGGCTTGGGAAAATATTGCCTCTTAGAAGTACTCAGGGATGGCATTAGTTATTCCCAGATTATTGGGTGGAAACTCAAGCTGGTTCTCTTTGTATTAAGAGAACTCCTAGATGTTGAACTTGGCCCTTGCTGAAACCAACTCTCTTTGGCATAAGGGTTACATAAGGAATAGAGGAAGACTCCAATATTTCTCCTTCACTTTAGGAGACAAAGAAACCAACCAATTGTATCTTTGATGGGACCTGGCCATGCCAGCCAGTATAGGCTAGAAAGGAGACTGGAGGGAGGAAGGGAAGGAGGGAAGGTGAGAGAAACTATCTTGAATAAAACTTGCTGTTTTAGACTTTTATAAATCTGATTTCACTTTTGTTTTCTGACGGGCAACTTTCCCTTCATTTCTTTTATTTTGTATCCCTTCAAGCCAAGCTCTTTTGTTAATAAACTTATTTTGCTTTCATCATAAATAACAAGTGATGTGTTATTTCAGTAAAATGTATGCTTCTGGAAAACCGATAGGTTGGAGTGTTTCTGCAAAAGCAGCAAACCTAACACTTTCTTTATGAAGCCCTGAGCTGAGTGATTAGGAGGCAAATTTGGAATCGGCAGGGTCTGCCTGCAAGAAATAACCATGTTGGGCAAAAGCCAGAGTGAGGCTTGTGGTTTGCTGGCAGGCTGGTGGGGTTGGAGTTCGAGACCAAAGATGCAAAGCTATAAGACACTAATAGCACGTCTACACAGCAGGGCTAGAGCCGAAATAAGCTACGCAACTTCAGCTACGTTAATTGCTTAGCTTAAATCAAAATAGTTTATTTCGGCTTTTGGCGCCTTCTATGCAGCAGGAAGTCTGAGGAAGAACACTCTTCCTCCGACTTCCTGTACTCCTTGTAAATTGCGGGTTATAGGAGTCAGAGTAAGAAGTCTTCCAGCTCGACATTATGTCAAAATAACTGTGTGTAGTGTAGATGCCGACTATGTTATTTAGGAATAACATCAGTTATTCCAAAATAACACTGCTGTGTAGATATACCCTTGGGATTACAAGGTGGATAATGGTCCATCCCCTTACTTGTCTAGGTGAGTTTCCAAATGTCACATGTGTCAATAAGCACCCAGAAAAGTAAAGAGAACACCAAGGACTGTGGAAGTTTCCTCATCACTGGCAAATTGTAAATGAAAAACGAATGTTTTGGGGATGTTCCATGGCCTGCGTTATGAAGGCCTGTACTGATCCCTAGGTCCCTTTTGATGCCAGAATCTATGAAACTCCTTAACCCTTGTTATGCCCACAAAGCCGTTGACATGACCACCTTGATTTTGGAGAAGTATATATATTGAGAGTAATTGCAGGCTGGGTTTAAATAGGATCCTTGCCTAGGCATTTTAGTTGTAAAGATAGTTTTTTACAGTGCTATGCAGGGGGCTGGAACAATTGGTATAGTGGGGGTGCTGAGAGTCATTAACCCAAACTATAAATCAGGTATATAATGGAAACCACTTCAAATCACGGGGTGCTGCACCTGCAGTTCCAGCACCTATGGTGTTGTGCGTCTTCAAGGGCAATAGATGGCCAAGTGAGCACACTCTCATAATACAAGAACCTGAAAAAACTTTTAAAAAAAAGAACAGGAACACAATTCAACACCATATTGAGGCAAACACCTTAGCAGAACTTGGGGTATTTTTGCTTCACCACTGAGTTGTCACTGTTTAACTTTGCAGTTCTCAGGGCACTTAGAGTGAAGTCCTCAACTGTTATCGTATCAATTTAACTCCCCTTTCCACTAAATCCCTAAGTGTCATGGTTGTATATATTTTTAAAAAGCCACGAAAGTCATGACTTCCATGACAAGGGTGAAGCCCTTTTTTTAAAGACAACCCCTGTCATTAAATAATATTTAAAACTCTTTATGCTCCCTGGGGCAAAACTGAAGGCACAATACTAGCTAAAAATCATTTTTATTCAGAATTCTCTGTAATAAAATGATCTAGTCAGAATAGAATTTGCAAACAATTAAAAAAATCATTCTTTCCATAGTTGCCTAACTTCCTATGAGTGTGGCTTTATAATGTCTTCCACATTTGGAAATAATGTCCCCAGCATCACAACATTTTAAATAGTTTGCTTTTATCAGTCCCCGCCTCGAGTGAGAACTGTGATTATAACTCTCACACCAATACTTCCCATTTATATCCCTTTCCTTCTAATGCTGTCCTACATTCTATTTAGCCTGCACTTTTTTTTTTTTTTTTACTTATTTACATGCCACTTGGAAAGATACCAACTTTAAAAAAAAACTGAATTTACACCAAGCATTTTTAAGCTTTTCTTTCTCAAACTGAGTCATGCCAGTGAAAGCTCAGAAAAGGCGAGCCAATATGAAACTTCAACTTCTGTTGCTTAGGCCTTGAACCAGCTCACCCACCTTGATTATAAAGTGCGAAATGGAGGAAGCCCCTGACAACTAACAGACACATAATTAAGACAACCCACAGCAAAACACATTCTGGCTAGAAAACAGTTCGTGGGTTCTGACTTTTGCTTGTAACGTTGGGTTAAAAAAAAGACACTTAGGGAAAATAAGCTACAGAGTTAGTCTGAATTTGACTCAGTCTTCACTGAGGAGGAACATGAGTAAAACTCTGATTTAGGGTAAATTACCCCATAACACAAGAAGAACTGGTAATACAGACATACCTGGTATTCAACATACTATCAAGCAAATTAGCAGCAACAAAAATGCAGGGGTTTTTAGATTCTAGATCATGCAGCAATTTTTAGATCTTTTTTGTACCTCTGGAATTTCTGACCTTGTGTGTCTATTTGCAAATCATCACGGTAGTTGTATTTGTTCCAGCTCTTTTCTCAGATTATTTTGATCTCAGATTATTTTCTCAGATTATTTTGACATCTTTGTGGGCTCTGAACACTTTTACAGCTGTTAGGATGCTAATGGGAACTTCATGTGTACCCAACACAAGTGCTCTCAAGAAGAAAACAAATGTCAAACTGAGGTATGTAGAAGTCGCCATAAATATGTCTTTGAATGTTTACCATTCAGAACAGTAGATTACATTGTGACAAGAAGCTGGACTACCCAAGGGGCATTGTCTTTTAAGCAGCCCGCATCATTAAAAGGGAAGGGGAAACATAATTTAACATCCCCACTTTCTTCATGAGCTTTTCTGACAGTGTTGGGCAAACTACTTTTCCATATTAAAATAATAAAGAAGATGGACAGTTATATATATCCAAACATTTTCTTAAAAGATTACATCTGATGACCCATCTGACAGAAATCCATGGAGAAGGAAGCCTTATAATTAGACTGTGACAGCAGAATGTGCAATGCAATTCACATTCCTGAAACTGCTGCACCTTGTCTTTGTTAGCAGACTAAACCATATTTTCATAGACAGAAGCTGACTTAAAAGACTTCATGTCAACCAAAAATGTGTAGAATAATGTGAAGAAATCAAATTGTATAGGCAATTTTAGCACAAGCCTAGTTTTGGGGTGGTTTTTTGTTTTGTTTCTGTTAAAAAAAATAAAGCCTTCAAAAGTTTCCACTGCTCATTAGAAAGAAAAACTGGGCTGAGTGAAAAATCAATATGCTCCAGTTTCTTCACTCAATCCCAGTCAGGTTATGCTGTCTTATTAGGATTTAGCTAATACACTCTTTAAAATTGCTATGGGTCATTTATGAGGATACAGTCTTATTAAAGAACATGTTTGAAAATACAAGCTGAGAACAATCTGTAAAGCAGCCAAACAGCCTGCTCAAAAAAAAAAAAAAGTTGGTTTGAGGCAAAACTATATGTGCAACTTGAAACATGGTTTTATGGGCATCGTTACACAGTTGAGTGCCAAAATCACAAAGCACCAGCCATAAATCCCCTTGCTCAGAGCCTACTAAACAGATCTTATTTCAGAACAGATTTCATACAGAATATCTCACCTGTATATGGTGAGGACAGTGTTAGATTTCTTTCACAAGTAACAGAAACCAATCATTCATGGGCACCACAGGTGTGTGAGAGGTACTGTATGGAAGATCTGTTATAGGGGCAAATGGAACAAGTCATTTAGTTTTTATTTAAGGAAAGACATTTTTATGGATTTATTTTAAAACAAGTCACTTCAGCCTTCAGTAAATGTCAAAATAGAAAGAGTAAAGGAATAAACTGAGAAGATTAATTCTAAAATATCCAGAATCTAATGTGTAATCACTTTTATGGCTTTTTATTTAATTCAGTGGCTCTTTCCTCCCCAGATACCAATGAAATTAATAGTCATTAAGTGAAAGTGACAGTAAGTACTTACAGTGACTAATTTCTAATTAAATTTCTGCCTCTCTTCATGCCTAGCGGTAAAAATCCCGTTACATTTAATTAACACTTCAGATAGCCTGTTTAGCATCTATAAATATACCCGGCCTTTAATGATCCGTTATAGTGATGCTACTTAGTTTTCAATGACTTGTAAAACTTTCACAAACAGATCTGCAAATGAATTACATCCATCTGCCCTGCTGCAGCTGCAAGCGCATTGTAGTCTCTCACTTCCTCCTTTCCTCTGGTTCTTTCCTAACTTTTAAATTCATGTGTGAGCCAAGCTGTTTATACTCCAATCATCAGGAGCCCATCCAGGTCTCTATAAAGGAGTCTTCCAACTCTGCAGACATATCAAATGCATTTTCAAAACATTTGGGTTCGTTTCACAATGAAGCAGAGACAGTCCACGCTGCATAAAAAAAGCAGTTAACGCATCTCAGAAACACCATGCTAGGGGCTTTTCCCCTGTATTTTCCCCAGTAGTTTTCACTAATTCGTTAACGTAAAAGGAGAGATGGTCATATTACTAGAAAATGAAACTACTATTATGATAGCACTGGCGATCTCTCATTTACTGAAGGTTTTTAGCACATGTGTGTGTGGAGAGGGGGTGGGGGGAATAAGTAGCAGATACACTGCTCCAAAGGAGATTTTCTAATCTACACCTTCAAAAGCGTGACCTTAACTGCATTAAGATTGTTAGTTCTATAAAGACAGCCAAGCATCAAGCTATGTTCGCAGTTATCTGTCAGCTATACAATAGCTGCATTGATAAGGCAGCAGCAACTGGCTTTGACAAGTGTGCTGTGCTAGCATTCCATTCAAAACCATGAAGGGAAAAGGGGGGGGGGGGGAGGGAGCATTAAATGCCTTTTACTTTACCTGAACAAACTGCTTTTCTTTTAGCTGCTGAAAATGAATCCTCCCTCTTCTCCCAAAAAGCTAAATAGCTCTTCTTTTGCTGGCAACTCACACTTGCAGAAGACCACACAGCTCCAGCAAGGCAGCCTCCTTTCCCTAATCCCCACTCGAATGTGATGACACACACTAACCCCAACCATCTGTTGAAACACGTCCTCAGGCACTCAGCACAGTGGTGTGTCAAGACGGGCTGCCCAATCCAATCGCTGGGGCTGGGTGTCTCTTAAGGAGCTGGAGGGAGAGACAAGGACAGAAACTGTAGCTCTGAGAACTCTTAGCAAAGTAACCTGAGATTTTGAGAGAGAAAAGGACGGCTAGAAAGAAGAAGTGGGAGGTGCTAGTGGGAAGGTAGAGGGAGTGGATTGTTCTGGTGGCCAGTTGTGTTCTCACAACTCCTTGTATTCCCAAGGGACCACTGGGACCCTCACAGTAGGATGCACAGAAGCACAACAGAGCCAGTAAAATCTTTTTTATTGCAGGTCTATTGAGGGCAATCTCCTCTGGAGACACTTTCCTAAAAAGAGATAAAAGATGAAGCCTGAGATCCTGATAAAGTGTTAATGTGGGAGTCGTTTGCTCGGAAATGTGACATTTGCATCTTGAAATCCAAACTCCCACCTTGCCATGATTACACTGTGGCTGCCTCTAGCATTCCTGGGGAAGCTAGGGGAGAGGCAGCTAAAAAGCATAACTTTCTTTTTTTCATACAGCATAGAGGTCTGCACTGTTTACCACACGTCTATGCCTCAATATTTAATGTCAATATGTGGATTTCTATTAAACAGCACATTTTCAAGGGCTAAAAGTTGGCTAATCCAATTTTTTCAAAATTGTCTTTTTGAACACGCAAGGTTTTTGTAACCATTAAAACTAGATCTCTTCATTCTGTGATTAAAAGCACATTCAAAATAGCTTATGGACTACTTCCCTTTAAAGTTTTTGTTTCCAGTTTCTGATCAAACTAGGACAGAGTCCTCCTCTGACTTTCCCACCCCCTCTCTCGGTGTGTTTTTAAAATGGAGATGGCCTCAGACATGTTAATACTATAGAGCTAATTGTCTTTATATATAAGCATTTTATACCCAGTACAAACACATTCTCAAGCACTAGAATATCTAGGGTCTGTTCCTGGTCCTGCCTCTGTGACCTTGTGCCAATTTCTGTGCCTCAGTTTCCTATCTATAAAAAGGGGATAGTGGTACTTCTCTGCTTCACAGCGATGCTCTAAGGAGAAAATCATTAATTTATGTGAGAAGCTCAGGCACTAATGATAAGTGCCCAGAAAAGCTTACACAATAGAGCCTTCCTTTCTTGTTCACTAAAATACGATGGTGTGGAAGGGAGAGAGATTTTTTTAACCATGTGCCAGATTTGACAGTTTGCATTAATTCTGCATTTCAAATTAGGACAATTATTTCATTTTTTTAACTGAAAAAGAAAAAATTAAAGGAAAAGTGCTGTTCTGGCATTCAAGGTTATTCCAAAAAGGTGCTACAATCTAATGTGTAGAAAAGTTTGCAACAAACCTTTACATACACTGCACAGTCATCTAAAAGAGAAAATCTTAAAACCTAGAAACATTGATTTGGTTTCCTTGTTGTTTAATACCTTGTGCATGTTGTTTGAGATTATTTTAGAATCAAGCATTTTATAAAACATGAGGTTAGAGAGTTATAATTTGTGCTCAGTTAGTAGTTGCCATAGGTGACCTGTAGAGGAAAAGGAAAGGAAAGAAAAAGAGAGCACTAAAGAGTTCTGATTGCATTTGTTCAAGTTCTTCCCAGAAGTGATTATATGGTGTCTGTTTCAGCCTATTAAACTGAAACTGCGTTCACAGATGTTTGGTATTCATGAAAACATTACTACTTAAGCTGCTAAATCCAGAAAAATAAGCAACAGAACAATATTTTCAACAATGCTAAGTGCTAAGGCAGGGATGAAACTACTATTCTCTTGGGTATTATAAGATTTTAAACAGTGACAATTATTGCTTCAAGGCAGCTTTTTGGATTTTTTATCCTACAGGACTGAGGTCTGGAAAGAGTCTGTGTAACTTTGTAGATTCAGAAAACCCTGGAGGCATTATTAAACTAGTTCAGATTCTCTTTGGATATACTTTGAGTACAAAAGTAAGAACCTAAGAAACAGCAAAAGTGTTGAACAACAATGTTAGATTAGTAATAGTCCATTAAAATGCACAACAGTCAGATGTGGAGCATCAAAGACACAAAAACAATGCACGATATGTCATCTTGGATTCTGAATCTTTGCATAAATCATTAATCATCTGAGGACTTGCTCAGTTCTATGTCTACCAAATGAGAGGCAATGAAATGTTAATATTTAAAACTAGCTTTAGTCAAAAATAGTTAAAGTTTGTTCTAGCAATATGAATGGCAATTATATACAATATAAACATTTTGATATAATATTTATTTGCCTACATGGACACCCCCACTATTTTTGTGTATATAGTACAAACAGTAAGTATCTTACACACATACTTGAAACTAATGTTGTTATTTCCTTATATCAGTATAATCAGTGGTACCACTACTGATGTCAATGAAGTTTCAACAGTGTAAAAGTGATATGAGATCATGAAGAGGACTTATAGTTGTGTGTTTTACATGACAGTCTTCAAAGAAATTTTTCTCTAACAAAATTTGAGTTACAAACTATCACCTCCAAAAACAATGTACCAACCTTTAAGCACGGTGCATTACCATATTTTCAGGTAAAACAAAACTGCTGCTGATTCTGTAGGATATCATAACTGCTTCTCCTGTGACTGTAACCAGATTTAGTTTTCAATAGAAGTGACTGTTTATATCAGCTAGACTTCTCCATTTTTCTCCACTCCTTCCCCCTACACATACCCTAACTGCCATCTGCAGAGTTTTGGTTTTAAAAAGTGAAATTAAAGAGCTACACTGAAAGAACTGGACCTGAAGTATTGTTAAAATAATGCATCATAAAATACATTCCCAAATTGACTCTCAAAATGGTAAACTCCTTGCAGGGTCAGACTGACCTCACTCAGATACAGCTTGTAACAAAGTGAATAATGCACTGTGGTAAGTAACCCAAAACAATCCTAATATGCTAGATTAATTGTAAGTAACTGTGATATTGAAAAATAGTCATTCCTCTTTTGCTCCAACAGTTAACATGCCTCTTCACTTATTAGTTCCAAATAGTTTCCATGGTAACCAACCAGCCCTTGTAAGTCAGTCTAGACTCATCCCCTCCAGTTCAGTTTAGTACACTCTGTCTCTCTCTCTCTCTAAATGTGACTTAGATTAAGTTTATAGTTTTAAACTCTCCAAACCAGTGGAGAAAGTAACTTGAAATTACTTACAGGTCCTATCCTATTGCAACCCAGATCCCTGCCAGCTCTTTAAATTATGATAATGATGGGGTGATCACTTGTTGCTGAGTATAACCATCTTCCATGGGGGCTATGGACCCTCAGGTGGCTGATAAAGGCTGATCCCTGAACCACAAGTTCTACTACAGTGAGGACAGATGTTTCCAGGTACAGCAGGAGGCATTGACTGTGACTAGAAGCCAGTCTCGCTTTCCTTCTACACCACTTCTCCTCTTTAGTATGTCGGCAGGCAAATTCAAAATGCAGAAAGCCATTGTGTAGGACTTGTCTCCACTTTGAGTGATCTTGGGCAAGTGTCTCCCAAGTATCAATGTCAATGTTGCACTTAAGTCATCCTTTATCAAATCCTTATAACGCTTCCGTTGTCCTCCCATGTTATGGTATCCTTCTTTCAGCTGAGAAAAGAGAACTTGTTTGGGGAGGCGATGGTTTGGCATCTGAACAATGTGATCAGTCCAGTGAAATTGCTGATGGACAATCATTGTCTCAATACTGGTGGTCTTTGACACTTTCAGAGCACTGATGTTAGTTCACCTGTCTTCCTATTTGATCGTCAAGATCTTGCACAGGCAGTATTGGTGATACCTCTTAAGGACTTTCAATTGATGTATAAGTCTGAAACCTGGACAACGTATAGACAATAGTGTCAGGAGAATGACGGTTTGATGGACAAGAAGTTTGGTGCCTGTTTGAATGTCACGATCTTCAAAAATCCTGTGCCATAAATGAGTACGGCTCCACTGGCACAGCTCAGATGATGCTGGACTTCCACATCAATATCTGCCCTGGATGAAAGACAACTTCCAAGGTAGAGAAAATGATCAACATTCTCCAGTGCTTCTCTGCTTATTTCAATAGATGGGGCACGTGGTACCTCATCTGGAGAGGACTGATGGAGCACTTTGGTTTTCTTGGTGTTGAGGGGGAGACCAAGACATGCATAAGCATCAGCAAACACATTCAAGGTAGTCTGAAGATCTTTCTCAGAGTGGGCAAAAATCAGTATTGTCATCAGTATACTGAAAGTTCACGATAGATGTGGTGGGAATCTTACTCTTAGCTTTCAGCCTGCTAAGCCTAAACAGAATAATCACCATCCATTCTGTAGATTATTTCAATGCCAGCTGGGAGCTTCCCAACAATTAGGTTGAAAATGGCTGCAATAAAGACTGCAGACATCGTTGGGACGATGATACAGCCCTGTTTAACTCCTGTTTGTATTTTGAAATGTTCACTCAGAGCCAGTGTTGCCAAGAAAAGTCTCTTTCAAGTTGTCATAAAGCAACTTTAGGACATTGATGTATTTATCAGGACATCCAGTCTTCAGAGGTACAGTTCAAAGGGAACAGTGATTCACTGAGTCAAAGGCTTTAGTTAGATCAATAAAAGCTATGAACAGTGGTTGGTTTTGCTCCCAACACTTCTCTTGCAGCTGCTGTGCAAAGAAGATCATATCTGCAGTTCTGTGACATGATCAGAAGCCACTCTGTGATTCTGATAACATTTCTTCTGACAGGCAGAAGATGGGTTGCAAGGATCTGTGCAAGAACTTTGCCTGCAACACCAGGGAGAAAGATACTATGATAGTTTCCACAGTCTACCCTTTTAAAAAGAGAGTAACAAGGCATCCCTCATTTCACGGGGTATCTCCTCCTTTATCCAAAATTTAAGGATAAGCAGGCCGAATTAACTCTGATCCACTGTCTTCAAAGATTTCAGTAGGGATACCATCTGGACCTACTGCCTTGTTCTTTTCCACTGTCTTCAAAGATTTCAGTGGGGATACCATCTGGACCTACTGCCTTGATGGTACTGTATACCTCATACAAATTAGGAGGGTCTCCAAGCACATCCCTAGAACGTTGGTGGGGGATTTGCTCAAAAACTTCATCTTCAACTATGGAATAATGATTAAGA